AGTAGATAGATAGATGGATAGATAGATAACAGTAGATAGATAGATGGATAGATAGATAATAGTAGATAGATAGATGGATAGATAGATAATAGTAGATAGATAGATGGATAGATAGATAATAGTAGATAGATAGATGGATAATAGTAGATAGATAGATGGATAATAGTAGATAGATAGATAGATGGATAGATAGATAATAGTAGATAGATAGATGGATAATAGTAGATAGATAGATGGATAGATAGATAATAGTAGATAGATAGATGGATAGATAATAGTAGATAGATAGATGGATAGATAGATAATAGTAGATAGATGGATAGATAGATAATAGTAGATAGATAGATGGATAGATAGATAATAGTAGATAGATAGATGGATAGATAGATCGATAGATCATAAACTAATGTAGTTCCATGGAACAGAGTGCAGCGTTTTGTACATATTTCATTCACTGTAGTGTGCAGTCATGCTCCTCGGCCTATGTTAGTGCCATATGAGTGCACAGCATTTCCTCTAAGTTCGGCATTTCTAGTAAGCCTCCTCCTCCTTCTGTCGGTGTGAAGGGGTTAACTCTCGGCCCGGCCTCCAGGAAGGAGTCAGCGTGGGTTGGCGGACCTGTCTTCCGTCCTAAGTCAGTCATTTAGGGCTGTGGACGGAAGGATCCTTCGGGTGAGTGCTGTGTCTATATAGCCGAGTGATAGTGACGTTGGAAAGCGCCGCATTGCTCTCCATGACCAGTTTCTGTGCCTGCTTGTGTCAGCTCTGTGAGCCCGTGCACTGACTTCCAGCTTGTCCATTGAAATCGCTGTGACCATACAGTTAGATGGTGAAGGGGTCAGGTTTTATGAAATGCTAATTGGTGCTCTGATCACACTTACTTGAAACTTTAGGCTGATGTCACAGGGGTGATTTTTTTTTTTTTTGCACAGTGATTTCCCTTGCCCCTTTCTTGGTGATCCTTCCATTTTTTTACAGTGATTTGTTGCGCAGCAATTGAGATCCAGCCAACTTTTGTGTTGGTGGTGAAAATTCTAGTGATAGATAGCTAGATCTATCCATAGTCTTCATTCGCCTCTATGGAATTGCTACAAAAAGCTGCAGGAGTGCAATTTGTAGCACGAACCAATCCTAGTTTAAACAAATCCCCATCAAGAGATTAAATGGCTAGCTGTGAATCGCTGTTAAAGCGAATATTCGCCCTCCCCACCCACGTCTTCTCATTCTACTCCTACACTGTTCCTCTCTAAAAATCAGATATTTATTAAAAAATTTTTTTTTTTAAGTTTTTCGGGGAATGTGGAAAATGACATGTTTTCCTGGGATACCCACATCATCCATCCCAGGATTGACGAGTGTGTATTCCAGGTGCTACTTTGAGGTGCGGTGCATCATCAGGGGGCCAGCTGTCTCTCTTTCTGAATCTTACAGTGGCCCCCCTGATGATGCACCATGGCACATGCGTGTTATCAGGGGTCCAGCTGCGAGAACCTGAGACAGCCAGTCCCCTGATGACATCAGAGAAGATGGCATTACTGGACCAGGTGTGAAGCAGCGGATATCTACAGAACACTGATGGATCACTGGGCATGTGAATTTTTTTTCTGCATAACCCAGCAAAAAAGGTAAGGGGGGAAAAATGGGTAGTTTGGGTGAAGTTCCTCTTTGATCGCTGGCATTGGCATTTTGGCAAGGGATAAAACCATCATGTTACCGCTTTATAAATCACTTGTTCAGCCTCACCTTGAATATGCGGTCCAGTTTTGGTCACCAACTCTCAGGAAAGATGTTCTTGAACTTGAGAGAGTTCAGAGAAGGGCTACAACAGGGGTGTCCACAATTTTTCATCTGGAGATCTACTGTTCAAATTTCCCAGAAGCCCACCCTGAGAGTAAAAAAAAAAATTGAAATAATAGAAATGAAAAAAAAATCCTGGAGGCACACGTCACACGCCTGTGGG